TTTTGAAGTACTTGTAACTTTGATAGTTTTTCGAATGTCAAACCGGACAAAATAACATTACAGTAATCTAACTTTGATAAAATGAGTGTTGTTACAAGTGTCTTGGCTGCTGCTTTAGTTAAATAATTTCTTACACTGCCAATTTTCTTAAGCTGAAAGTAAATACTTTTGCTGAGCTGGCTTATTTGGGAGGACATAGACATATCATAATCCAACTGAAACCCTAGATTTTTAAGACTTCTTTTTGAACGAATGGTATGGTTATTAATATCAATTTATAGCTCTGGGAGATTTTTAATGGCTTTTGTATTTCCACTCAACATTATTTCCGTCTTGTCATCATTTAGTTTCAATTTATTGCTGGTCATCCATATTTTTAAATCTCTAGTACATTGTTCAGTAGAGTCGACTAAAAGTGGTATTTGATCGAAATCAATAGACTTATAAATTTGAGTGTCATCAGCATAAAGATGGTAATTCATGCCATATTGTCTTAAAATATCAGCAATAGGTTGTGTATACATTGTAAACAAGACAGGTCCAAGAACAGACCCCTGAGGAACACCACATCTAAGCAAAACATTATTAGAACACGTGTTTCCAACCACAACTGCTTGTGTTCGATCCTTAAAATATGACTCAAACCATCGCAGGACAGTACCCTTTATGCCAAAAGTAGTATTTAATCTCTCGAGTAAAATACCATGATCAATGGTATCGAATGCAGCCGAAAGGTCCAAAAGAGTAAGAAGACATACCTTTTTTTCATCAATATATTTTAAAATATCAGTACAGACCCTAAGTAACGCTGTCTCGGTACTATGGTGTGCCTTATATGCTGACTGATAGACTTCGCTAAGATTATTTGCTTTAATATGATGTAACAGTCTATTAGATACAACTTTTTCAAGAATTTTGGAAAGGAAAGAAAGATTTGAAACTGGTCTAAAAAATTTTAAGTCCTTTTCATCAAGTCCAGATTTTTTCAAAAGGGGTCTAATATGGGCTGTCTTAAAGCAATTTGGTACTGTGCCTGTGAGGAGAGAATCATTTACAATTTGGGTGATATGTGGAAGAAGTTCATGCAAACATTTTTTAAAAGGCTGGTGGGCATGGGGTCTAAGGCGCAACTTTTTGATGGACTATCTAATATGATCTTTTTGATTTCTTCTTCCGTTGCTGGAGTAAAATAATCGATGACTAACCCTTTAAACTGATGGTAATTTGGGGCAATTGCGCACATTTTATCGAGCTCTTGTCTGATGGAGGTGATTTTTCTAGAAAAAAAGTCTGAAAAACTACTACAAAGATCTCTATCGGTGCCAGGGGGTAATACAGCTCTGTTTTGGTTGCCAAGCAGTTCACTAGAGACATCAAAAAGTTCCTTACAAGTTTTAACATTTTCAAATTTTGACAAAAAGAAAGTACGCTTGGCTTTGGTAATCATTTTACTAACAGAATTCTTCATAGTAATAAATATTCCCTTATGCACTTCAAGTCGTGTTTTTCTCCATTTTCTTTCCGCTTGTCTTTTTTCTTTTTTTGCAGCCTTTATTTCTAAATTAAACCACCTACCAACAGGTCGATGAGATAATTTTCGTTTTTTAACTGGAGCATGATCATCTAAAATATTCCTCATGATGGTATTGAGGGTTTCTATATTAAAAGGGGAACTAATAGCAAGAGCATCACGAAAGTCACATTGAAACTGGTGTAAATTTATATCGTTCAGATTTCGGGAATTAACTGTTTTTATTTCTTTCCTTGGTCTTTTGATGTTCAGGTCAACAATAAGAAGATAATGATCGGAAATGTCTTTGTCCAGAACGTTTATGCCTTTCATACAGTTCTTTTCAATAGGAGAGATAACCCAGTCTAGGATGTGCTGACTTTTATGTGTTGGTACTTGTACGAGTTGTTTTAAATCATTTTCTGTCAGCAGGTTGCTTATATTTTTAGTGACAGGGTTTTCAGAGCCAAAATGAAAATTAAAATCGCCAGTTATAATGAATGGTGTACTTTTCATCTTCAGAGATGAAATTAAATTTAGAAATTCCTCTATAAAAACGGATGATTTGATATAATTTGCTTTACTCGGTGGTGGCCTGTATATGCAGCAGATGGTAATGCTTTGGGACTGCAGCTGGAAGGACATTAAAGCAGCCTCACATGAGTGACAGGGAATCTTTTTCACAGTAACTTGTGCTAAATTAGTCCTAAAAATAAATGCTACTCCTCCTCCTCTACGCCCAACACGAGGGAAAGACTTAATTGAATAACCTACTGGACATATTGCTGATAAAATCGCATCGTCACCCTTTCGTTTCTCCAGAAGAAGAATAGGATAGAGTTATCCATGGGACTAGCACAATTTGTTAGTTTCGCTTCTTTTTATAAAAAAAACAAGTAGGGTAACTCTGTTGGCAAAGGCTGTACTTTTTCAAAGAGCGCGCCACCGGATTTTGAGGACACTTCTTTAATTGCCTCAAAGAGAGGAGTGAACTATCTGATGTTATGCACGATCTTTGAACGCACTGAGCACGATGATCCACTCTTGGACCTTTTTGTCGTTTTCTTCATTAGTTGCACTCGGTGGAAAAAAAAGAAAAGAATAATAATAAATAGTAGATCTATATCTAATAGATCTGCATTTCGAAACAGAAAAGAAAACTGAACACAAATTATGTAAATTCCCTGTTATGTATCAATACTATTTAGGAGAAAAATGGCATAGAAGGAAAAATAATTCAAGCTTTTGTGATGGCATTGAAGAACAAGCTATCATATTCATTTTCCGGACCCCCCCCCCCCCCCCCTCCCTAAAAAAATTAATTAATAGAAAAAACTTAAACAAACTTTTTTAAAAAAATAAGATTTTTTAATAGGAATCCTATGAGCCATCTGTTCAATGCAATCCTGACCAAGCCACAAAAAAACCCACAAATCAACAAACAAACAAACAAACAAACAGCAAACTCTGGACCAGTTGTAAAGATATCTTATTGTCCGATAAATCGCCCCAGGCCACAGGAAAAATATCAACTGTTCTTATAGTCATATCAATGGCGGTATGTAGTGTTGCCCAACGTCAACTATAGTTCATTAGGCCGTCCAGTCCACACTGGACGTCTAGCCCAGAAGGTTAAAATAAAGGACAGCGTTTCAGAAAATGACATCGGTTTTTAAATCTGAAGAGCCCCTCGAAAAGAAACAGCAAAAAAAAACAAAATAAACATCTCTGAAAAAAAGAGACAGGAAAAAGTTAAATCAAGGATTAAAAGAAATAAAAAAGAGCGTTGAAAAAATAAATTTGATCTGTCGAAAACACATTCAAATATTTTACACTTACATACTCGTACAGTTTTAGTAGAGTTTCCTGATTCTGGGACCAAAGGAAAAGGTAAAATGAATACAATTTAATTAATACAAGCTGAAAACCAATGCTAAAACAAGTCATCTTACTAATTTTTAATTTTAAAAATTCCCCCAAACTACAAAGTTAGCTCCGGCTTTCCAACCTCTCATTCCGGAACGAAACAAGCTGCCTTGGCCTAAATAAAAATAATGACACTTGCTAAAACCTGACTGAGAACATGTGAATATATCACATTGTCCGATTAATCGGCCCAGGCTCAGAAAATGTCAACCGTTCCTCTGGTTATATCAAAAGAGATATGTATTGTTGTGAACGTCAATATAGTTCATTAGGTCGCCGAGTACACTGTGGACATCTAACGCTCAGTCTGAAAATAACGGGCATAGTTTAAAGAATTGACAGCCTCTGTTAATTGTTAAGCCCCCCTCCCCCACCTTTGCCCCAAAAAACTCAAATCCCTAAGAAAAAAAGAAAGGCAGAAAAAAAATTAAAAGAAGTTTCTTCTTTAAAAAAAAAAATAGGATAAGGTTTGAAGAATGGAATTTGATCTGTAAAAAAAACAGCATTACAATGCCATAATATGTAAATTAACTTTCGATAAGGTTTCATAATTGTATGACCTAAAGAAAAAGGTGAAAAGGATACAAATTTACACAAACTAAATACCAACAATGAAACGAACTATCCTACAGATTTTAACTTTCAAAAGGTTTCCCAAAATATGAAGTTAGCTCCTGCTTTCCATCGGTTCATTCTGGGAAAAAAGCAAGCTGCTCTTGGTATAAATTTTAAAAATACTGACACTTGCTATGGAGATTTCAACACACAGGGACCGACATTGTAGTTTTTTCAACTCCATTCGATTTCGTTTGACTACTGAGTGTACATTGGACATTTCAACAACAAACTGGAAACTGTACGACATGTGAAGATATCATAATATTGTCCGATAAATGTCCCCAGGTTACAAGAAAAAATAGCAGTTGTTCCTCTAGTCATAATATAAATGACGATGTCTATTGTTGGACGTCAATATAATTCATTAGGCCGTCGAGTCCACGGTGGACAATCGAACTCTAAACATTGGACAAGGTGTGAAGATGTGACTTCAACCACTGAATTTAAATCCTCCTTTCTTCTGCCATATCAAAGACGTCACTGACCGAGGGAGAGAGCGGTGAGGAAAGAATAGGTCTGGAGATTGGCCTCAGGGACGCGTGTCGTGGTCAGAAACCGTTTATTGTTCAATCAGGAGCCAGAGCCCGGCCATTAAAACAAATGTGGCTAAACGACTATTGTTTTGACTCACCGCCTCTGTTCACTCCCAGGTGGTGTCAAATCTGACAGGTATGGTCCCCGCATATTGTATTAGCTCAGCACGATAGCCACTCTTCATTTCGAATTTATTCCCTCTGCAAGCCAGTACGCTCTCTGCGACCAGCTTCCTTTCGAACGATTGCTTATGGACTTCATATCAAGTTTCCTAGTTCGACTTGATTCCCTGCGCTGCTTTTGAGAAGATAAAGAGTCTCAGAACGTGGTTGCAAAGACTACATCGGCTGTCTTGCAAGTTTCTGCGCAATTACTCATTGTGACGCCAGACTCTGTGACCTATAGCGCCACCATGGTTAAGATGCTCAAGCTCAAGGCGCCCAAGTTCAAGAAAATCGACGACGATGTCTTGCCCTCGCTCGACATAGAGGAAGGAAGAACCATCCTTGGGAAGAGCCACAAGCAAGTGCACAGGAAAAACGACAAAGGGTGCAAGCTGGAGAAGTACACTATGTCAACATCCACGACTTTTCCCTCGTTGCCAGGTCGAGAAAAGACCGGAAACGGAGAGTTGACCGATTTCTCGACAAAGCTTACGTCCTGAGGTTTTTGAGTCAAGCAAACATCGTCTGTACTCCCCCTGTGCCTATCAGGGGGCAGCAATATGAGGCTTTGCTTACCAAGTTTTTGCCTTTCCCTCTACATGAGTACTTGGACGATATGAGTGGCGATGAGCCGCAGTGTTGTGTCAACCAGCTCACCAATGCCCTATGCTACCTGCACAGAAGGCACATTGTCCATGGCGACCTGAAACAGGTCAAAGTTGTCACAGACCGATCCAACGTCTTCAAACTCTGTGGGCTAGGATCCACTCAGGTCTTACCTTGGGAATCTGAGGAGCCCAAACGCTGGACCAGTCCTCGAAGAGAATATCGCGCCCCAGAACTGGACGATCTCTCTCTGGAACTGAACGCCTTTAAGATGGGGAACCACTCATTCGGAGTCTTGTCGTGCTGAAATCTCCAGGGAAACATGCTTACTTACGCTCGCGGCCACATCCTGAAGACGGTGAACAGTTCATCACAACTACAACCAGTTTCCAACCACTTCTGTCTAGCCATAATAGCTTAAATCTAGTTTTGGTAAGCGTTTTACGGCAGTTGCAACACGATTATGTCATAATATAAATGCCGAAGATTAGACGTGTTACCTAGGGCTAACAAACACAAGACAGGATCGGGGGAGAGATCAGGACGATAGATGTTTGATCGGAAAGAAGAAGGAAACCACACCAGAGCACCCACAAGCCACCCGCTCAACGTAACCAACACAGGCAACAATCTGTATATTAGCACAAAAAAGGTAAGACATAACATTAGATTCCAGTCTTCCGTTTGGTATTGGACAGACTAGATTTGTCGTCAAGTGGAACAGAGGCAAAAAAACCCACCGAGATGTAGCCAATTTTTTTTATTTTATTTTTTTTTTGGGGATTCCACAACGTCTTGATAGAAAAGTCTAGGGGTCTTGTTTTGGCAAGTGTTTTACGGAACTCGACACTTGCAATACAATTAGGTCATATTATTATGAGCGCCAGAAGATTAGAAGTGTTACAAGACAGTAACAAACAGATTTTTTTGGGGGGGGGGGGGAGAAGGAGAATTTCCTATCGTCCTGATCTCTCCTCCGATCCTGTCTTGTGTTTGTTAGCCCTAGGTTACACGTCTAATCTTCGGCATTTATATTATGACATAATCGTGTTGCAACTGCCGTAAAACGCT